GCAAAGCAGAAGAGGATGGTCCAAGTCATTGGCCCTCTGTACCCATGTGGGAGACCCAGAAGAAGCTTCTGGCTCCCAGTTTCAGCTCAGCTCGGCTCAGCTCTGGCCAGTGTGGCCATGCATGGAGTGCTCCAGCAGATGGAAGATCCCTCTTCTCTGTAAAATGTGCATTTCCACTAAACGTAAATAAACTTTGAAAAAATGTGAGAGAGACATAATATTGTAGATTCGCCTTCCCAAAACTCCTCTTGCTCTCCAAGTGATCAGCACAGGTCCCTGTATTTGCCAGGCATCTCTCTGTCCTGGGGCGTCTGAGTAGCAAGTGTCTGTTTCAGAGTCCTTCAGCCCCAGATGCACACTTCCTGATTGCTTTCCTCTGTGACAGCTGTTAGATCCTTGTGAATTTTGGTGTCCTTAGCTGTGAAATGGGCATACCACTACAGTTTGAGCATGTAGAATATAATGCAATGTAATGTATGTAATGTAATATAATAGAATGTATGCATAATACAACAATACAGCATGCAACAGATGGCCGTTATTATTACTGAGATCGGCATTGCCTGTGAACACAGACTCTGCTTATATCCAGGGGTTTGAGGTAGCTTGTCTAGAATTAGAACCATACCTGATGCCCAAGTTAGATTCTTGCACCTTATGATTATGGAATCTTTCTAGAGAGAAGATTGGGTTTGGAGAGAGAACAGCGGAACAACAGGAGAAAGGATCTTTTAGTGCTTGTCCTCAGAGCCATTACTTTCTTAATTAAAGAAACCTGAGTAAGGAGCTTCTAGTGGCTGCACTTTAGCTGCAGCTTGGCAGGCAGTTAGGGAATGATGCCGGCGCGCTCACACACCCTGTTTCTGGAAAGCTGGCGTCAGGGATTTTGTTCCTGGAAAAGTGATGTTTGAGTGGCCATTCCCATCCAGAAAGTCCATTATCCCTTGATTGCCACGCACCAAAGTCCTCCAGGGAGCCCTGGGCAGCAGTTCTTGGCTCTTGACTGCCACTTTCCCACTGTTTCTTGACACCTCAGCTTTATTCAGTCTGCAGTTCTGATCAGTTCTCTGGAAGGAGGCTGTGGGAATGTAACTGACCCATCCGCCTGAGTGGTCAAGGGTAGTTTTTGAAAGATTTATTGATTTGAGAATCAGAGTTAGAAAGAGGGAGAAAATGAGACAGAGAGACAGGTAATTCTTTCATCTGCTGGTTCATTCTCCAGAGAGCTGCTGGGCCAGTCCGAAGCAAGGAGCCAGAAGCTTCTTCCGGGTCTCCCTCATGGGTAGCAGGGTCCCAAGCATTTGAGCTATCATCCTCTGATTTCCAAGGCACTTTAGCAGGGAACTGGATCAGAAGTGGGGCATCCAGGACAAGAACTGGCATCCATATGGAATGTTAGCATGTCACTTGCCACAGTGCTGGCCCCTACTAAGCTTTTTTTTCAGTGAATAAGTGGACCCACTACAATTTGGTATGACCAAGAACTCACTGTCATGTCCTTGGCATACCTGAACAGCCCTTGCAAGCTTCCCATCGTCTTAACTACACACACACACACACACACACACACACACACACACACACACACACACATCTTTTTTGAAAACATTGCCTCATTGCCCTCAAGGAGGCCGTGTGGGCTGAGTCCTGGGTTCACAGCCACGACTGTTATGAGATCCTTGAAGTGCACCTGCTCAGCCCACTCTCGAGAAAGAAAAGAATAAAGTTCCATATTTCAAAAAGAATCCGTGTGTGATGAAGCACCCTTTGAGTGTTGAGCACATAGGCAGATTAGAGGTAAGGGTGAACCCAGAGCTGCCTTCCTCAAAAAGGACTCTTTGCAAAGGTTGCTTGCTGGCTGAGATCTGGGAACTTGGATCTGGTGCTCTGTGCTGATAAGCATGGCCTCAAGTATTGTGCAAAGACTGTGGTTTAGACTGAACACCTGCTTCTCTTGTATAGTTTCCAACAGTAGGAAGAAGTGTGTGCTCTGATTCTGAACAGACACTTCTAGGAGAGTCTTCCTTAGTCATAGAAGGTGACTCAAGGAAGGGATATTCTTTCCCATCCCAGGACATGGCTTTTTCTGGGTGTGATGCTCCATCAGGGGAGGAAGGAGCCCTCATGTTGAACCTGGCAGAGCAGGAAGACAAAAAGAATGTGGGTCTTCCATTGACGTGTTTGAGCTACTCAGTAAACCTAGACTTGAGTCACCATACCACAAGATGTCTTGCTATGTGAATAATATACCCCTTCTTGTTTGAGTGGTTGACACTTCTTTTGCTTTGAAAAAGAGAGAGATATCATCCACTTGCTGACTCACTCTGCAAATGTCCACAACAGCGGGGGCTTGGCAAGGCTGAAGCCAGGGGCCTACAGCTCAACCCAAGTCTCCCTTGGGTGGCAGGGACCAAACAACTTGAGCCATTACCTGCTGTCTTCCAGGGTACAGACTAGCAGGAAGCTGGAACCAACAGTGGAGCTGGGATGCACATCTAGGGGTGCTGATGTGGAATGTGAGCATCCCCATGCCAAATTTCTACCCATTTCAGTGGTTTGTAATGTCTTCTTACTTGCAGCCAAAGTATCCTTGCAGACAATAGACATATAATTCTATTACCTTGTCAAGTGCACTGAGATAATGGTTTTGAAGAAAATAAAATCATGCATTTGCTCAACAAACAATTTATGGAATATCTTTTATGCGGAGGGATGGCAGCCAAGAACAAGTTTAAAAGCCAAAAGGGAATAAAACATATGCCCAAGTAATAGGTTGACACATCTTGTGTCACATGAAGCACCACAACATGATACTGGTATTTTGCATAGATATTAAATTCTGACTTCATTTATTCAGGATATAATTCACTTAAAACTCCCCAGCAGAATCACAGTCAAGTCTTGTCACACAGAATCGAGGGCACACGTCCATGCATAAGTCAAGCAGTCATGGCATAGGGGAAGCTTCAGTTTCTGGGTTCCCTTTGGTTTGATTCCCATCTGGAGAGGCACGCACTGGCTTTATGCTCTTTACAGTAACAACTGTGATTCAAGCTCCTGGCAGCTTTGAGCTGCTACACACATTGTTCAATGCCATGAGGGCCAGTGAGTCTCCCTGAGCCAGGGACGTCAGCACCTTACCTCACCATGATTTTGCATTTCCTCTTGGTTGATAGAGGTGGCCCAGATGTCACATTACTTAAGGAAGAAGAGTTCTGGCTTATAGGACCAGCAAGTCAGCTTGCTGACTTTTGTTCAGTATCCCTGGAAGCTGTCAGAGGACAGGGCTCAGAAGCAGGAAGCTGGAAGCAGGAACCATGTTGGGACTTGGATTTAAGGACTCTGAGAAGAAGACGTCTCAGTGGTGTCTTCAGTGCTGGGCCAAACGCCCACTCCAGCTCATCTTATAATTCCATAATTTCACCCTAGAAATTTCTCTGAGAATGCACTAGTGAGCAGATAGCTGCTTTCTTGCAATACAATTAAAATAAAGATGGAAAATCATTAAAAAATAATTTTGCCTGAGCATCTTCCTTCCCTGGGAGGCCTACTACAGCTGATCACTACTTTCAATTCCGCTAATCGGGCAGCTACTCTCAACTTCACTGTGAAAGTTTCCATTTCTTGCCCCAGATATGAAAGGGCTACTGAATAGAAAAAAGATTTTTTTTTTTTAAAAAATTTATTTATTTTTATTGGAAAGTCAGATATATATACATATATATATAGAAAGGAGGAGAGACATAGAAGAAAATCTTCCATCTGCTGATTCACTCCCCAAGTGCCCGAACTGAAGCCAGGAGCCAGGAGCCTCTTCTGGGTCTCCCATATGGGTGCAGGGTCCCAAGGCTTTGGGCCGTCCTCGACTGCTTTCCCAGGCCACAGGCAAAGAGCTAGATGGGAGGTGGAGCTGACAGGATTAGAACCGGTGCCCATATGGGATCTTGGTGCATGCAATGCGAGGACTTTAGTAACCACTAGGCTACCATACTGGGCCCAGAAGAAGGATTATTTAAACCTTAGTTCTTTGTAATCAGAATTTAAATTATTTCTGTTGTGGTGATTTAATACTAAAAAATTTTAGGGTGCTTCACTGTGTTCACAATGATGATGTTAATGAATTCATGATAGTCTATTGATAATTATGAAACAGCAATTAGGAAATCACATATGATATTAAGTCAAAATTAGAATGTAATTGTACATTCACCTTAAAGTTATTAAAATAGTTAAAGAACATGATTTAAACAGCTTTTGGGGGGTGGGGAAGCTCCTGATATGTTTCAGTTTTCCAGGCAAGAAGTGACGGTGGCTTGCCTGAGTGTGGTCGGGCTGGTAGGTGCGCGGGCGGGAATCAGGGAGACTCATGGGGACTCTGAAATCTGGGTTACTCTAAAAGTGACCCCAAAGAGGGTATCCCAAGAAACCTTCTCAGAATAGCATCTTTCTGGGGATTTGGAGAAAGAGACACTGTGAGTGAGTCTCTTGCTGCTGGGTTCGTGTCACGTGTGCAGGAAGAATGAACCGCATGGGTAAGGAAGAGTGAGTAAAGCAAGAGTGGCTTATTGAAATGAAGTAGAGAAGTTCAAGCAAAAGCTAAGGAATAAAACGTGCCTGGCAATGCCAAGAGGGTCCCGAAGGAGAGGCTGTGAGGGCTGCTTGTTGGGAGTTCTGATCAGTGGTCAAACGAGGACAAATTCACGGTTGGTCTGGGAGAGAGATGGTTTTGACTGGTTATTCAGCAAAGACAGCAGCAAATGCATAAATGCTTCTCCCTGGATGCACCTAGATCAGAGAGGACAGCTCTGAGGACCAGGACTAGCACACGGCTTCAGCATCCTTCACTGGTATGCTTATCTCATCTGCAGATGGTGGGGGTGGCGCTCCCATCTCCAGCTGCAAGTCTATCCCTATGACTATAGCCTGGCTCATTCCACTTCCAACACAAAGAAAGATGGAGATCTTCCATATTCTGGTTCACTCCCCAGATACCCAAACAGCCAGGATTTAGCTAAGTGAGGCCCAGAGCAAGGAACTCCGTCAGGCACTCCTACATGGGTGGCAGAGGCCGAAGCACTTGAACCATTCTGCTTTTCCCCCAAGTACATTATTAGTAGGAAACTGTGTCAGATATGGAGCAGGGGTTGGCATTGTGACATGGCAGGAATCCACTGTGATGCATACATCCTGTATAGGCATCTGTTGGAGTCCTGGCTGCTTCACTTTCCATTCAGCTTCCTGCTCATATGCTATGGCAGGCAGTTGAGGAAGGCTTAGGTGCTTGGGCCTCTGCACCCACATGGGAGACACAGATTAAGCTCCTGTCTGGTTCAGCCCTGGCTTCTGGAGCCATTTGTGGAGTGAACCAGAGGATCAAAGCTCTTTAACTCTAACTTTTGGATAAGTAAAGAAATCTTTAAAAAAAAGAAAAGAAAGTGAAGCAGCCCCAGACTTAAGCAGGTGCTACAAAATGGTATGCCAGTGTTGCAATCAGCAGTTTGACCCTCTATCACTACTCCGGTCTCTGACTGGGAAGACTGAGACGTGTATCTTCCAGGCCCAGTGAGCACGTCAATCTGCCACGTGTAGCACCAAGATCCCTTAGTGCTGGTTCAATTCCTGGCTACTTCACTTCTGATCCAGCTCCCTGCTAATGTGCCTAGGAAAGCAGTGGAAGATGCTCCCAGAAGCCTGGGTTCCTCTCACCATGAGGGAGACCGGGCTGTGGTTCCAGACTCCTGGCTTTCAACCTGGTCCAGCCTTGGTGGCCATTGTGGGGAGTGGCTTTGTGGCCATTTGGGGGAGTGAACCAGTAGATAGATCTTTCTCTTTATCTCCTTTTCTTTCAGTTTGCCTTTCAAATAAATAAATAAATAAATACAATCCTTAAGAAAGAACATGACATTTTCCTTGTAGTTAGATTTGCAGATGTGCCTTGGGCTATACTGGACAGAATCATCTGGGTAAGACTTGAGTTTCGGGGGAGAAGCAGGTGTTGGGGGCCTAATATTTTGCTGGTATGGCTCCTGCCAGCAGGAGATTCCACCCAATCTTTCCAACTTGTTAGAGGCTTCCTTGTGGTGGCAGGAGGGGCAGAAATCTTAGCAGCTCCACTTAGCTGTGCCTGGCACACAAGCTCTCCTTGCCTGCAGGCTGCTACCATATTAAATATTTACAACAGATAACAGTGGAGGGTGGCCCTAGGCTCCAGTGACCGGGCCTGAAGCCTGGTTCTGGAGGTCTTTCAGTCCGGGAAAACGCATTTCACTGTGACAAAGCAGAGAACATGTGAGAACCAGGAAACCCGGCAGCAGGGCTGCTTCCTCTGCCAGGCCAGCTCCACTGTAATAAATGCCGATTTGTGATCAAAAGTTAAAAATGTCAACAAAGACATGCAGGAAATGACTGCTTCTAATCTCCAAAATAATCTCTCCCTTCTCCACCTGCGTCTCTCAGGACCTTCCCCCATTCTAGTTTCTCTCATAGCTATTTCCAGCCGTGTCCGATGGGCCCCATGGATGAAGCTGTGAGAGCAAGGAGGCCAGGAACGCCTGCTGGTTTCTCTGGGATCTCTGAAAGCACCTGCGCAGACAGGCCCCTCTCTTCAAAGGAGACAGCCAATCTATATTTAATGAACCGGGTGAATTCTGGCGCAGTCCTCGTGGTGAAGGCTTTTGAAAGGATGCTTCTGAGGTGTCTGTGACCAAGAACTTCGATTCCATTTCCAGATCAAGGTGAAGGAGGAAGATGATGAGTGGGCAGTTTGGGGTGGGGTGAAGGGTGACGTCACTGTGGCAGGCAGGTGGGCTTTCTGCCTCCCGCGGGTGATGGTGGACCAAAGAGGACAGGCCACCCATCCTCTGGCCACTCCAGGATGGCATGATTTGTGGTCATGGTGCCAGGCCTCTTGTTCCTCCACTGCGCTATTGAAGGGGTAGATGAAGTGGTGACAGCTCTCCACATCCCAACACAGAATGACCTAGAAGGCCATGTAGCCCATGTTTGCAAACGGATGCTCAAACTCTTCCCATTCCCCAGCAGGTGCAATTTCTAGCTCCATTCAAGGGCAGGTAAGCTGACATTCTGGGGGCAATTGAGACAAGATAGCTGGGCTGTGAGCCACCCACCACTACATTTCAACTCCAGTGCACCTGCCTCCTTGCTGCACATCCAGAAGCTCAGGAGGCTGGGAGCCAACTGTGAGGCAGCTCCTCCAGTCAGTGAGGTTGAGGGGGTGTGTCTCCCGAGATAAAGGGGTTCCTTCAACCTTGGAGAAGAGGAGCTGCTACGACAGCCCTGGTGAGCTTCTCCACCAGACACCCAGATGGCGGCTTTAAAATAAAACTCCCAGGAGGATGCTAATTTTAGGACATTCACAAGCTTCTCTCAAGAATAATTAGCCCTGCGTGGGTTTCCACTTTAATTCTGCTTCTCCCCCCCCCCCCCCCCCCCCCGCCATTTCCGATGGTAGGAGCTGGAAAGCCCGACCGCTGATTTCGGAATAGCAGAGGAAATGAGACTATGAAAAGAGCTAGCGCGGTGCCCCTTTTCTCGGAGGCGTGATAGCATCTGAACACGCACAACTCTCACCCAGGGCACACGCACACTCGGCTGTGTGGAAAGAGAGCGAAGGAAGTCAGGACAGGGGGAGGAGGGAGTGCTTCCGTTCGGATCCCAGGCTTTTTCTCTGGTTGAATAAGTCAGTGAGAAAGGGCGATGAAGGAGGAGGGTAGAAGGAGAACAGCACGAAGGAGGACACGGACGCATACAGACCACGCTCCTCTCCCAGGCACAGGTGCTTGAAAAACGCACGTGCAGACGGTCGCTCGGGCTGGACCTGGAGCCGAGCGGAATGATTGGATTGCGGCCGGCCCAGGTGAGGGCAGCTGTCTCGGAAGCCGTAAGCAGGCTGCTAGCCTGCAGGCTGTGAGTGCGCCTTGGGCGGCAGGTGGCGGTCTAGGGCCCGCGCCCGGCACTCCCTCGGGGTTGCCAACCCTCTGCCAAGTGGATGTCCCCGGGACGTCAACCTGGGCTTCGCCTCGGCGCTAACCTCTCATCAGCGCCCTCGGCTTGCGGCTAGCCTCCAGGGCTCCGGCTCGCTTTCTCTCACTCCCTGCCTTCTGGTGCGGGGCAGGTGCTCAGTCTGCGCTCGCTCCCTCCGGTCAGGCACCTCGGAGAGCTGCGTCCCGGGGTAACCAGGCCGTCAGGGGGCGGCCGCCCTTCCTGGATCCCAGGCCCGAATCCCACGAGTGCGCGAGAGCCACGCCCGCATCTGAGCCCTGGGGTCCGCAGCACCTCTGTTCCCTAACCGCCCCGCTCCTTTCCGATGGCGACCCCTCGGGCCGTGCTCCGACTTCCTCCCGTTCTCAGGAACACGCGTGCCCCCTGCGTCCACCCCGTCCCACCAACTCCTCCCGCGTCCCGGAAACGTCCTGGAAGGACAGTGAGTCACGGTGGGCACACACCACCCGGTGTCCCCGTCTTCCCGGCCCCGCCGTAGCTCCCACCTCCCTCCACCCCTGCCCAGGGACCCAACTCCCGGATGCGTCACCGAATCGGGCGGTTTAGGGTATCGCCCCACCTTCTTCCCCGATGGCGACTCCTGATTGGTGAGCGTCGGGGTCACTCCGCCGTTCCTCCTGTCCCCCTCGCTCGGCTCCTCCCGCTACTCGCCCGCGGCGCGCGCCGAGAAGTTCTGGGCAAAGTCCTGGCAAACTGGCTGCACCGGGCGGCACGGGCTCCGGACCTGCTGTGCTCGGTCCGCGCTCGGGTCGTCCCCGCCCCACCTCTCGAGGCCGGCACGGGGAAGTGTCAGCTGAGCGCGGCGGCCGGCTGGGAGGAGCTGGAACAGGGCAGCGGGGAAGCTGGGCGGTGTCCCCCGCGGCGGCAGAGCGAGCAGGTGAGCGGCGGGGCGTCTGCCCCCAGGGGCGTGGTGGGCTCGGGAGGGCTGCTGTTTTAGGGGGCTCCGCCAGGTTCCGCGGGGAGTCCTGGCGCCTGGGAAGAGCCGTTTAGCGCCAGGGACCGCCCTCAGGGTCGCTCCCGGTGCCCCAGGAGGAGGACTCCTGGCTGCTTGGTGCTTCGGGAGGCCGGGTGCCTGGGTGCCTGGGTGCCTGGGTGCCGAGCGGACGCTCGGAGCTACACCAACCAGGCGGGATGGGGCGCTCCCGCACGCGTCCCACTGGGTTTCGCGGATCCCCGGAGTGGCTGCTGGTTCTGTCCTGTGGTCTCTCTGAGCCGTCCGAGCGCGACGGGGGTGGAACGTGGCCGTTCTCCTGGTGTATGGAACTTGTGCGGGGGTAGAAGGAATGCGGTCTTCGTGGACCCTCTAGTTTTGGGGGACGGGGACGGGGCATTGAGAAACAGTTGTGTTTTAAAGTGAGATTGTAGGGAGGGTGCTGACCTCGGATCATTCATTCCCCCACCCCTAGTCTCTGCCCCAGGCAAGCCACCGCACGAGGTTCCCCTCTGGCCACCAGCTCAATAGAGCTGGGCTGAAACGCTGAAAAGTGGCCGCCCGGACTCGCTGTTCCTCCTGCAGCGTGCCTCCTCTGATGTGATCTTCACCGTTTTTTTTTTTTTGCCGTGACCGCCTACCCCCCAACCCCCGTCCCTACTAGAATGTGAGCCACGGAGGCGGAGAGACTTTGTCCATCTTGTTGTCACTTGATTCCCAGGCGTCCAGGGAGGTTCGCAGTAGACAAGCATGGGATGAATAAGAGAACACATCCCTGAATGAAACTGGTGGTGCTTGCTTAGCTGGTGCTTATGTTCAGCTTCATTTTTTTCCCCCTGGGAAAATTTACAAACATATTAGCCACTGTTGCTGAGCACCTAAATCTCACAGTGCATACTCGACACTCTTTGCAGTCTGTCTCATTAAACATTTCAGTAGCCTCATTAGCTGGATATTTTTAACCAGATGGGAAATGGAGGCGCCAGCAGGTTCACCCATTTTCCTAAGGACTAGATTTCAGCCCATTTTCTCTCTACTGTGTTGAACCACTTCTAAGAA